AAATAATAGGAGCAAAAAATTTATAAATCTAGACAAAAAATAAAGAAGGTGCTTTTGGTCCTTGTTCTTGTTAACTTTAAAAACTTATACAAACTAGAGTTTCAGCAAAATAAATTAAACTCTTAATTGTGTTTTTGTTTTTATGTGTCATCTTTACATCTTTAACGTCATGTTATACAAATTACAACATCAAAATATATTGATCTGAAATTATGCAGATATTAAAGACACGATAAGGAAGAAAAATAACAAAATATTGACAATGAACATTAATATCTTTCTAATTATAATGTGTTTTATATTTTACTTTATTATAATAGTATATTATGTAACTAGTGATATAAACCCCACTTTAGACATGAGTTTTATTAAGCACGAGCGAAGCGGCGCGGAGAAGTTTATACACATGTTACATACTATACTTTTTCTACGACTACCACAACAAAATTACTTAAAATAAAAATTAAAGTAAATGACAGAAAGCTAATTTCAGCCGGTTACTAATACGACAGTGGCTATTAGCAACATAACTAATATACATACAGGGTGTCCCACTAAAAACAAGCAACCACGAATATCTCAGAAACTAAAAAAAACTTTGCAAAAACGCCAAAACAGGTCAAACAATTTTGTTTGTGAAGGGGATATTTTTCCACGTAATTTTTAAATCGTTCCCAGTAACCCTTTAACTTTCACGCACTCCAACACAACTGTTTTAACAAGCTTTTCAAAACTTTAAATCAAAATTCAATCAGACCATGTATTCATAAGATAGAGTCTGTTCTAATAAAAACGAACCAGAAAGAATTTGCAAAAAAAACGATACAAGTTAATTTTGTTTTTTAAAAAGACATTTTTTGACACAATTTTAAAAGCACCCCCATTATATTATACACTATACGGGTAAGTGTATGATACGAGTAATAAATTAATAATAATATTATTGTGAAATTTATTAATTGTTTAAGTAATGATAAATGTAAATATAATTTTGCTATCAATGAACTTTGTTTTTGGGGGTCACTAATTTTATATCGGTTATTTTTTCAAAATTAAACAAAAAAATATTTTTTTTAATACATTTTAAAACATCAAAAAAATTAATGATTTCCATAAGTATGAAAAAAACAGCCACTAAAGAATAATATTTTTTTCTACGATTTAAACTTGATATATATTTTTTAATTATTAGATGCAAAAATATCTAACAATTGTTTTCATTTACATTCTACTGAAATATGGCCAAGTTATGGCCAATGTTGTAGTTAAATCCAAAACACTCTAAATTATTACAAAAAAAAACTTATTACAATTACAATAATAAAAAAGTTGTTATTAGGTAAATCTCCTTTTAGATATACTTCGCCGTATTATTCTCAGAATTTATAATTCTCAATATTTATAATAATTAATTCGCATTTTCAAGAAAAAATTAATTAAAGATTTAATAAAAAGCAGAATTTTACTTTGTTGCTGCAAATATATAGTTGGATGTAAATACTGTTTTGTGTTATCTTAACTAAAAGCATCTTGTTAATAACACAAAAAACATTCTCCTTATTTATACAGTGTTTACGGTCTTGAAATTAATTTCAACCTTTTAATTTTTAAAAGAGACGATATGCACGGTAGAAGAAAACAAATACCCTATAAGGGTGTCATAACTCACTCCCCAGAAAAAAAATTTAAGTAAGATAAGATACCAGAAACATGGAAAAAATGTTTAAAAAGTTCCATCTGTCAAAAAATTTTGACATCTATTTTTTGAAATTTGACATTTTTTATGTGTATTTAATGATACTGATGATCTTGTATATGTGTTTTTGAAGGTGCAAAAATTTTGCTAATAAAAGCCATGAATAACGTGAAACAGAGTTACAATTTAGGATACATAGCTTCCTTGTTTTCTCTTTTAATAGCCTGTAGCAAAAAAACATGGAAAATTATTTTTCCAACAGAAATAAATAGTCAAAGTTTAAAATTTGAACTCTCATAACTTCGAAATTTTTATAGATAGAATTTTTTTACATTTTTTCCATGCTCTTGGTATCTTACCTTACATCACATTTTTTTCTGAGGCGCAAGTTTTGGGGCACACTGTATAAAATAAAAATTCATGTTATTGAATGGGCATTAGTGCCATTACTTTGTGCTTCACCGAAAATCATAATCAAGACAACCAATTTATTATTTTAATATTTGCGATTCATATCCATAAATTTGGAAAAAAATAACAATAAAATCAAATCTGTTAGAAACCATTTTCTTAGAAGTGATTCAAATTTTGATAAAAACTAAGCCAAAAGTTAATCAAATGATGACAATATCAAATTTATAAAGTGTCTTTTCTCTTTCGCTGTCGTGGATACGATTTTTTCATTTGTTGCAATAATGCAATTACGAGTATATCTAATCAAAGTAATAATTCTAGTGATCCCCAAACCTTGTAACAATATCTTAGAGTCAAATAACATTCTTATTAATAGGAACAATTCTGTGAATTTTTTTCTCCGTTGCACTTGTTCTGCACTTTTTTACTATTAGGTCAATTTTCAAGACCGTAATCACCCTGTACATAATTAAAACTAAAAATAAAATTCTACCTTTTGATCTAAAAATCTTTTTACTTGTGTGTTTTCAGCAAAAAAATTAGTTTCAACAAAGCAATATCGAACATACGTTTTTGCCATTTTGTTGTGTTTGTAATCTGGGTTGTAGTTGTTATTTATTTTGTTTTTCTATGCTTATAACAACATGAATATTATAAAATAAGCTTGTAATGACTATCATTAGTCAAGCTTTAATATTTCTTCTTATTCAGCTATTCGCCAAATTTAATAACTCACCTAATTAAGACTTTTTGAACTTCGACAGTTAGTGAAATTTATGTGTTGCTACAACGTATATTGACCCGATTCTTTCATTAGCCGGTCGATAAAACCCTTCATCCGCTACATAATTTTACATAAATAGATTTTGTTTTTCACTTTGATTTATATCAAACTCATTTTGTTGTAAAAAATATATCACGAAAATTATTTAAAGGTTTGTGTTTAAAAACACACATTATGCCACAACTCTCATGCATATAAATAAGATATAAAACACTGATATGAATTTTCTTATAAAGCATTTTCTATAACCTGTTTGGGTAAAACAGACATAATCTGCTTATGCATAATCGATACAAATTATTACTGAAATTTTTCCTAAAACAAAATTTATATCAAGCAGTTTTAGTTTCGTGATATTAGAGCATTTACCATGTCTGAAACTGTAGCTGAAATTTCACGACTTGCTTAAGATTTCAGCGAGATCGTTATTTTAACTGTTATTACATCGAGTGGCGAGATAAAGATTTAACTGGTATTATTCTAGGTTTTATTATTTTTGGCATAATTGCGTTTTCAACACTCAGTTAATTTCGAACTGAAATTAGCATTAGAAATTAATCAGAAACCTTTCAAAGCTAGTGGAATGCACTCTACTTATGGCAGCAAATGTAATTTTAAATTTTAATTTTATTTTATTTTATTTCTGATATAGTTTGTTAAATTGCTAGAAAGCCTAGGTAGAGCGTAATAATTTCGTCTCCTTCCTCGAATAGTATAAATTAATTCGGTACACGTTTGGTTGAATGGGAAATAAACCGGGCAAATAATAATTATGGAAATCATGCATTGCCTAAAAATGCGAACCTTTTAGCTTCACTAAAACTACTACAGCCTTGTGATAAATTAGCTTTAGCGTTTATGAAGGGATTTGTGGGTTTAGCGTTGATTTGGGTATGATACACGAATTTTCATTTAATTTTGTTTGCAGTTGGGGTGGAATTTTTCGCACTGTTTTCTCGTTTTATTTAAAATAAAAAAGCAATTTCGTTCGTGGTGGCTTTAGTCTGGACGTATTTTTTCGTATCTATATCCAATTCTAAATTTTCTTCTATTCCAATCACCATTAAGCTGATTCTTGCGAATTTCCCGTTTCGATACGACACTATCCCTACTGTGCCCTTTCAAGTAAACGAACTCATTCTTATACAAACATCAATTTCTTAGTAAATTACCCATCAATTTAAAAAGAGTTAAATTTGCCGGAAGTGACGGATTTGCGTCGCCGCCAAAGTGTGAAAATCTACAATAAAAAACAGAAAATTCGAGAGTTATAATTAGAAATGTGATAAAGATACGAAAGTGGGCACGTTTTTACGAGACGAGTTCATTCAAGCGATAGCTTAATGTGGTTTAGCCACTTAAAGAATTGGAAGGTTTGATAAGTTTGGTTATTTTTGATCGGTAGAGAATCTTTGACCCAAATTATTGAGTTTGACTAAGTTTTAAAAAGTGGAAGTAATCCACTTACTCTGGCAAAAAGTTAATATAATAAAGGGATTTTATGTAAAATCTTTCAATATTTATTGTTTTGACTTTAGAAATAAATACTCCTACTATTTAATTTTAAATTTTTTATTTGTCTTTTTGTTGTTTTTCAAACTTCTGAAAACTACAAAAGAATCAATTAGTTCACCTTTATTTATAAATAATTCAAAAGTAAACTTTACAAAAGAAATTAATTTTCAATTCCCGTCAAGGGTGAAGCGCTTCAAACACAGGACGTTAAAATTTTTAATTGAACTAACAAAGTTATCTACTTGAATTTAACCAAGCACTGAAAATCTGCAGTTTTTCTCCGCACCTGAACCACCAAACAAATAAAACGTATTGTTGTTGAATTTTAATAAGGTTTTAGACCACAAGTGCTCTTTACAGTAGCGAAACTCAATTTTCACACTGAAATTGCGCATCGACAAGTTTCGCAAAACCTTTGATAAAAAATAGTTGTTTTGAATTGAACTGAAGATTATCCTAGATTCGAAATGGAAATTCACCTTATCCATAAACACAGACAAGTACATTAAACCTCATTGTAAAAAATGTTAATTTTTGAAGAGTCAGCAAGGTCGGCGCATGCGTTTTCGTATAAAATGATTTAAATGGAAAGGCTATTGTTTAATTGTAAGTTATCATGGCTCGAGTTGAGGAGTGCAAAAAACTATTTTATAAGTTTAGTCGAGAGGGAAATTGTTATGACCGAAATTTAGAGAAGGTAATTTATTTGGACTAAAAAATAGTTTATTAAAAAACTTTTAGGCCGAATTGGTGTCAATTAGTGAAGGGAAAAGCTCAGTTGAGCTAAAACTTGAAGAACGACACACGAATCAGTATGGTTGGATGCATGGAGCTTTTGCTGCAACATTAGTCGATTGTTGTACTTCTCTGGCCTTGTTTACGAAACATTCCGGGTTTATTGCATCGGTTGATATTCATATTAAGTATGTTTCCTACATTTTTATAACAAACTATTTTTTTTTCTTTTAGTTACTTGAAGTCTGCAAAAAGAAATGATGTAATTGTAGTAGATTGCAATGTAATTAATATGGGCCTTACTTTAGCTTTTGTTGAAGCTACAATAAAAAATAAGGCAAATGGGCATATTTTGGTGAAAGCAACACACACACTATACTTATCGCAATAAATTTAATCTTAACGAATATTGCTGTTTTTTTAAACCGGTTTTTTTATTAAAAGATGTACAGGGTGAGTCCTAACTTATATGCATAAACTTAGAAAATGATAGTTCTTGCCCAATAATAAAAAATAGTAAAATAATTCTAGTATTTTTTTTTTGTTACTGATAAGATATTGCGTCATAAAAACACTATTCAACCTTTAAATTTTAAATAATACTAATAAGATTATAATTATGTATTTTAACCAAGCTCGGTATACTACTAGACATTGACTTCCTGAATTTGACATTTCATAATGACATACAAAAAATGAGTACAATGCAAAATAAGTTTCGAAAAGTACTGTTTTAATTTTTTTGGAACTTTATTGGATTATATGTATAGGGTTATTCATAAATATGAAGCAATATTTAAACTTCAAAAATAACCTATAAAATGATGTTAATTTAAATAATAACTCGTGTCCTATTTCTACTGCTAAGAATTTTACAGCCCTCGGAATGTGGGTATGGAAATTTGTTTTTTTGTAATAACTTTGAAACCATTTAGACAAATATTATAAAATTTGAATATTATAATATTTGAAATAGTTACTTGCGAAAACATAATTTTTAAACTAGCAAGATACATCCACTCAATTTTCGGTTTCAGCAGTTGCAGTTTACATTTTCTGTGTTTTTCCTTTTTCTGGCCTCTTAACACTAATTTTTTATTGGTCAAATTGATAGAGTAATCAGTTTAGAATAGAAAACGTATAAGTGTGTTAAATTTTATAATATTTGGTCAAATGGTTCCAGAGTTATTGAAAAAAAAAACAAATTTCCACACCCACATTCCGAGAGCTGTAAAATTCTTATCAGTAGAGAGAGCACACAAGTTATTATTTAAATTAACATCTTTTTATAGGCCATTTTTAAGGTTCAAATGTTTTTATATTTATGAATAACCCTGTATAATATTTTTTGATACATGTTCATAGGAAACTTTTATCTTAAAATTGAATATTCTATCACCTGTTTAAATTTGTAACAATAAAAACAGAACAGCCTGTATACGAGTATGTAAYKRAAAAGCGAGGACCATACGATATCTTATCTTTCATTATAACTGTAAGTAATAATTAATTTTAATTTCACATAATGTAATTATGATGAACTAGTTTAAGTATACAATGATCAATAATAATATCCCGAGTGCACAAAGTGAATCAATTTGGCATACACGTATGAGTATTTAAATTTTATACTTTGACTCTATTTATTTCTGTTAGAAAAATAATTTTACAAGTTATTTTGCTATAGGCTACTGGAAGAGGGAACAAGGAAGCTGAGTTTTAACTATGTTTAACGTTATTTTCTGGCTTTGATTGACAAAATTTTTGTACCTTTACTAAATAATTACGAAAAAACTTATACAAGATCATTAGTAACACTAAATAAACGTAAAAAAGTCAAATGTCAAAAAATAAATGTCACAATTTTTTGACAGATTTTTTCTATGTAGAGCAAAAAAATTGTAACTTGTAAAATAAAAAAAAACTTATTGATATCTTGCTGTGCACATTATCAGGCAAATAATATTGGCTGCTAGGAGTAAAAATAACAATTTATGTGGCGAAAGTAAACGTTTACTTTGGCAAACGTAGTGAGGAAAATAATTCAGCTGAGCCACATAAAACGCTTAGACACAAAACAGAAATTTTATTCTATGGCTGCAAAGTAAATCTTTTATTTGTGACATTTACATAAAAAAATTTACTAGTGTAGTTATTTTTTTAAAAATTCAATAAAAAATTACTTCAAATTAAGTAAATGCAATCAGAAACTGTAGACTGCGAATTAAGATTCTTTTCTCAGTCATGGAGCAAGTTAATATCTTTTTTTTATTAAACATGTCGTGATTTTCCCAGTTTTTTCAAAACCACCTTGTATAACCCTTTATAACTTTAACAATAATACTGTTTTTGTTCCATTGATTATATTAATTACACGTTAGTTAGTAGTATAAAACATTCGACTACAAGCATTCGAAACTTAAAATGCCTTCTCAAACTATATCAAAACTATTTAGTAAGCACATCAAAGGTTTTTCTCGTGTCATCGATAAGGTAAGTAGAATCTATTTTTTAATAAACTAATAGCTTTTAATTTTTTAGTCAAAATTATTATTTACTGGTGATGGTAAATGCACAGCAATTTTAAAAATTAACGAAAAGCATGTTAACTATTTGGGTTATTTACATGGTGGTTTTTCCGCTACATTAGTTGATTGTTTCTCGTCTCTAGCCCTTTTGACTAAATGTCCTGATACTTTTGTGACAATTGATATGCATTTGAGGTAAGTATAAAAATATTTTTTTATATTTTTAATTATTTGTTTGTAGTTATTTTAAAGGGGCTAAGATTGGGGAGGAAGTTGTAATTAACGGTTTTGTGATAAAAATGGGAAAGAAAGTAGCTTTCCTTGAAACTACGATTTGTAATAAAACAACAAATAACATGCTTGTTAGAGGTACTCAAACGTCGTTAATCATTAATTAAAATAATGGTATTAATTGCAATTGCTTGTACGGTTTGATTGCAATAAAAACAACTAATTTAATTTTTTTCTAAACTAAACTCAAATGAGGTCGTAAACTTGTAATTAAGATTAAAAAATGTGACACAACCCTTTTGACCCTCTTATTTCACCAGCAAACATCAACAAAGTTTTCATTTAGCCGCACCCTAGCTGTAATAATGAAAGTAAACCACTGCTACCCTTTTTGCAACCTACAAAGAGACATAAAAATCGGTAATGAAATTGTTTTTAAGTCTAACCTTTATGACTTTATAAAATTAAATTAATTTTAAACCAACACTGTCTGAAATTACCAAACTCATTTAAAATTCAGATTACCACAGTCGAAAAGTTGTACGAATAAGTTTTTTTACTTAAAAATTCTGCTGCAAATTTATCAGTTGTTAAAAATTTTAACTGTAATTAACAGTCACGCAAAAAAAGCCAACTTTGCTTTGTTGCCACCTCATTTTTTATTTATTAAGTAAATTTGGCATAGCAGATTAATTTTTTTGTTGTTTCTCGAAATCATCAAAGCAGCCGACAAAATTCCACCAAATACGAGTATTTGCTAAAAAATAAATCATACAAATAAGAGTTTTTTTTTAATTAGCATCTGTTTTTTTTTTTCTTAATTGCGGAGAAAAACGGAAAAAGTAACGGTGGCTGTGATGGCTTAATTGTTATTTATGATAGCGCTCGAGATGAAATTATAAGATTAAAGGATGAATTTATTGGATTGCCAAAATTTTACAGGTTTTGTTAGTCGCTGAGTACACAAATAACAATTAAGTTTAGAATCTTGCGGATAATAGAGTGGAAGCTCATAAATGTTAACAATACATGAAGAGCACTCATATAAAGTAATGTTAAATCCCATCAAGTTCTCTTCAGGGGGCGAGAATTTTCACATCTCGGCGAGATATGTAGCTTTTATTGCGGTGCATGAAAAATAAACTTAAAAACTATATTTAATTAAATTAAGAAATAACTAAATAAATTATAACTTAAAATACAAAAGTTTCATGTTATCAAGATTTAAAGTTTATCACACTATCCTAGCTTTCTATATAAATAAGAAAGTTTCTTGTTTTGTGCTACAATATAATAGTTGTTAGCTATTCGTATCTACTAATTACCAAGTAGCAGAAATTTCATCAATACCACAAACATTTCGCTACCCTCTATATTATTAACCAGTGATAAATTAGTATTAAATTTGTATTAAATTCCTTAATTTTGAGATTGTGCATTAAATTGAAAAAACATTTTAACAATTTAGTTTTACTTGAATCATATCTTTATTTTTTTTAGTCTACATTATTTGCAACCTTTTTGCACAATATTTCTATTTTTATACAAATTTATACTTTAAAACTATGTTTATGTTTACTCAACGCATTAAATTATAATTTTTGAAAAAGTAAAAAATATCAGATCAGATTTAGATAATCTCAAGTCCGGAAAAAATTAGCTTTTGTTTTATTATCACTAGTGAAAAATTTCACTCTGCTAATTTTTTTTACAAAATTCAAAATCTATTCTTATTTTTATAAATGTAGCTAATATTTTTGTTTACAAGCAACAATAGAATGCGATTATTAAACGTACAAAAAATTCTAAATTTGATATTAGAAAAATATGCATACTTCTCAAAGCTATTATACAAGGCTTTTATTTCAAAATGAGCCAGTCTCAATAACTTTTGACATTTAGTAAATGTATTTTCAAGCAAAAACAGGTCGATTAGGATCGCGAGGGGAAAGTTTAAAACCAACATTAATTACATTTTAGGTTTCATGCCCTAGTCGCTAGCCACCTCTACTTTAAAATTTTTAATGGCATCTCCTACTTTTTGAAACATTTTCGGAAAGGGAAAAATGAACGTATTTCACTGTTAATTTTTTTAAATCATTTGTTTTTTTAGTTAGGGGTGGTTGTATTTTTCAATTTTCAGTCCTAGTAGTTTTTGATTAAACTCAATTTAATTAAAATAAAAAAAAATATGTCGATTTGGGTTGCGTTGGGAGAGTTCAAAACCAACATTAAATACGATTTAGGTTTCAACCCTTAGTCGCTAACTATCATTACTTTAAAATTTTAAAGGGCACCCCCACCTTTTTGAAACAATTTTGCAAAGGGCGGAAAAAAGTTTATCTAACTGTAAATAAAAAATTTTTTTGTCGATTGGTTTTTGAATTAAGGGTAGTTTTTTTTAATTAATTTTTTTAATGCAACTTAATTTAATTAAAAAATATGTCGATTCGGGTTGCGATGAGAGACTTCAAAAACAACATTAAATACCTTTTATGTCTCATCCCCTAGTCGCTAGCCACATCTGCTTAAAAATTTTAAGTAACATGCCCCCATTTTTTGAAACATTTCGTTTCAAATAGCAAACAACAAATAACAACTTAATTAACTTATAAACTAGTCAAGATTTTGCACAAAAGTGCCAACAATATGGTTTATTTTCTACGCAGTGTTTCACACTACATCTACTGCTACTATACAAATCGTTAAATGCATAAAGCATAAAGTTATATGGCCGAAACTTTTAGTTCACTTCAATTTTTAATATTTGTTCGACTTGTTTTAAAATTTGAATGAATGAATTGTTTGGGCTTGCCAACTACAAAATCCAATTTAAAATAAAAGTCGGCCATTTATAGTGCGCAGTTTAAATTAAAAACTAAATAAAGAGCATTTATATTTTTATGAACAACTTTTACCAAAAACTTTTAAGCTAGACACATTATGTTTAAAAACATAGTTTACCTCAACATTTTTATTTAATTATGCTCGAAAACCCAACCGGTTAAAACCTCTTTGCTGTCACCACTCAAGAAATCGTTATCGTTAAAAATGATGTGCAAATAAAACCCTTCAATTTTACTCGCTCTCCTAAAAAAATTAATTCAACTGAAATTTAACTTCACATTTAGTTAATTTGACAAAAAATGTAGGTTATTCGAGTTCACTGAATATTAGTCATGATCGCTAGAGTGAATTCAAATCATAAAAGAAAAATCTTGATTTTTGCAAAAATTAATTAAATCTGTCAGAGTCAGATGCGTCCAACGTGACTCATTCATCATTTGGAGCGATTATTTCTATTGTTCAATATATCTTACCGTTATAAAACAAGATGGATTTAAGTTGCAAACTTTCAAAAAGCTTCCGAGCTTAAGAGGAAGCGGACGAATACTGAGAAAGCACGCTTTAAGCACGAGATTACAGCGCAAGCTCTAGATGACTGCGACGTGACTGTTAAAGTTGATGCCAGTTGAAGAAATTAAATTAAGTAAATAAGTACAAAATTAAAAAAACACATTTTTGTTATTATTTTGGCAAATAATTTTTTAATAAATTGTTCACAACACTTCTGTTCATTGTCAAGGACACTAGAAAATACATCAACTTTAAAGATAAATAAAATAAATAATTAAAGTAAAAAAAATTGATGTTAATATTTTTTAGTTTTGTGATAATGTTTTTAAAAGTTCGAGAAATTTTCTTATTACCAAGCGTTTTACCTGTTGCGTTAATTGCATCGCAAGTGGTTTCCGATAACGTTAATAGTTTCATGATTCAGTGAGATATAAAGCAAACTTTTTTATTCAACAAACAACGGTTAAATGTGTTGTAACTCAATTATGCTTTGTTAATTGTTTGTTGCTTCTAATAACAACACGCAAAACTAGTGAGTGAACTAAATTATTTCTAATTTCGTTTAAGCTTTTATAAAAGTAAACCTTTACAAACTAGATTTGCGATTTAAAATCAAATTTCTAAAACTAAATTTAAAGAAAAGAAAACACTTTATGTTAATTAAATTAATTAAAGAATTAATAAAAAGAATTAAATTTTAATTGTTATCCCGGCGCATCCACCAAAATTGTCCTAATTACATTTATTTAAGCACATTTTTGTTTGAATCAATTAAAGACATAGTTATTAAAACAAAACGCAAAATTAGTAATTTTAATAAATTATTTAAATTAATTAAACAATTATAAAAATAGTTTTTAAAATGAATGCTATCTCGGCGCATCCACCAAAATTCCTTTTTTCCACCAAATTAATTACGTTTAAAATAAATACTTTATTTAATTATTAGTTACTATTACAATAAAGTCTAAATTAAATGTTTTACGATGTTTTATTTTATTGTAGTTGATTTCAATTTAATGGGGTGTTTTAGTTAAGCTCCTTATTACACTGTTCTATTTTATTCAAGACAAGTTTATCCTCAAGACTTTGACCAACTTTACTTTTTGTCATTTAGGAACACTTCAACTTTGGAAGAAAATTAGGAGATTTAATTACCATTTGTAAGTGTTGTTCATAACTTTCAATACAGTCCTTAAAAAAACATTAAAACTAAAACTTTTTGTCATATTTTCGCATCTTTCGACAAGTTATTTACAGCCCACACCTGCCAAAACTCACTTTATCGTCTTTTGTATAAAAACGCAGTTAAAAGTTGAAACAGATTAAAGTCGGTGATTTAAGGGTGAACGGAGACAAAGCGGAGGACAAAATTTGATCGAGCTGGAGATAATACTCTTGTATGAAATAAGATTACTTTTCCGGTTCCAAATTTTCATTTAGCAAATCGTAAATTGTCATTACGTCTTTCAGCTTTTCGCAAATGTGAAATGTTGGACACGGTTTCCAAAGCCAAATTAAATTTATTTAAATGAAATATTTTTTTTTGTTTTTTTTTTTTTCAGTAGATTTACTTTCGTATTAATGTAAAGTAAATACACTTGGCTCGACAAAATAATGTCGTAATATTTATATTTCAACGTTCTCTTTGTTATTAGGGTTTCCCATGGTTTGTAAAACACAATACAATTATTTTTAACTTTGAGTAACTTTATTTTTTCTTATTCTTAATAATTTACTGCATTGATGCAATAAAAAAATTTATTATTTCCCTAAGAGTTCTTTAAGATTCAAATACAAACTCAGTGTTTGTTTTATTTTACAATTTGTGGCAATTCAAGTTCTTTCAAGCTCTATTAAAAATAAACTCTCTACAAGACACCAAGTGCATACGGATGAATTATTCTCTTAAGTCAATTCTTTACACAATATTTTTTTACATAACTTTGATCAACGTTTCACACTTTTTACCTCTCTTAAAAGTCATTAACTTTATTGAAACGTGATATTTCAGTACCTACATGATTTTCAGGCTCAATTACCTCCTGGAAACTTTTCCAAATCATTTTAAACTTGAATACAGGGGTTACGAAAGGCCACCAAATTGACCTTGTCGTATTTTTCCAATAATTTGCAATAGAATTGATAAAACAAGCAACTTTGAATCGGACAACAAAAACACAAAAGTATTTGCTTTACCGATAATTGCTTTCAATCGATAAAGAATGTTGGAATTTTATTAGCCGCTTGCAATAAAAGTGGTAATGGGAGAATACGAACAAATTGGGTTCGATGATTGAAAAGTGGCTTGTTTACGAAGAAAACAGAATTGCATTGCTTGTTTTGGTAATTGTGGTGAATGAATTAATGTTTTGTGATATAAGAAAAATAAAAATACTTTGACTACTTGTAAAAATGTTTGTAAAATTTTGAAAGTGTTTTTTTAAATATTTTTCAATAATACTCCTGAAAATAATTCGTTTTTGTTATTTTTTTATTAATTGCTATTTATTAACAAAGAAGAGATCTGTTTTTTGTAAATTAGAATTGCATCAATTGTTTTAGAATTGTACCAAAACATTTTACAGGAATCTACTTTATTCCTCTCTTTAATAAACGAGGGCGTTACTGCACTTAAAAATAGCAAAAGTTCAAATATTTCAGTCATTATAGGTTTTTTTTTTTGTTATATTTGTGCTATTTTACTAAAAATCTTTCAAATTCCAATAATTTGTATTATTTTAGATATACTAATTGAAAGTAATTAAAAAACAATGTATGTATGCAAATGCAAATTTGTGAGTCAAGCTTGTAAAGTAATTAATAGCAATTTTGCAGTTGGTGTAAATTAATAACACATAAAAGAAGTGACACAGGTTCAAACTATCAGTAACAAGAAATCAATTTGAAAAACTATTTTCAAGCGAAAATGAAAAAAACTGTAATAAAATTAATACTCCTAAAAACCATTTTCAAATAAGTAAACTTAGCAACAAAAGCTTTTGTTGAAAAAAAAGAATCATCTTTACGTAAAAAACATCAAATGACTTTTTTTCATAATAATCTAATTGAGGATAATTTGTATTTATTTATTTTCTTGCGTTTTATTTAAAGGTTTATTTTGCAAAACTTAAAAAATATATATTTTCTGGTAAATAACAAAATTGAGAAAGTAGTAATTAATAACAATTAACAAATAGTTTTTATTATTTCGTTTTACAAATATGATTGTAAATTAGGTACAGAAATGTTTTATACTCTAACAATAAATTTCTCATTTAAATCAGCAAACTCCATCAAGTGTTTTTATCAAAGTAAAATATTTTAATAGTTTTAATCACATTTGTCCTTACACGTATTAAATAAGAAAGATTTTCATACATTTAAAAATATTTATACAAACATTTAATACAAATCACACATGAAAACACACCTTTTCCAAAACGAAAATTATTCAACAACTACTTAAAAATTAAGTACACATCCCACAGAGATACGAATCACAGATACACACTGAGATCAGAGAGTTCTGGAATAGTTTCTAATCGCCTCCAGCGCTTATCTTTGCGTTAGGTAATATCTTCATTGATCTCTTCCATGTATTTGACCAAATCCAAGCTGCTGTGTTCCATCTTATCCACGTCCTGGAGGCTTGAATTGCTGATAGTGTGGCCGCTGTCGACACTCTTCTCCCTGAAAAACTTCACTGGACGTTTCTGTTGGCCGAAGACGCGGAAAATACGAAATTTATCGCTTCTTTGCGAGGTTTTAGACCCGGGAGTGGGCGGTTTAGATTCACTCAAGACGATGGTGTGGAGGTCTTGGCACTCGTTTATTGTCGAAGAGTCTTGTTTGACTTTGTTGCAGCCGAGGAAATTGTAGGAGCGGTGAGTAGTGCTCTTCTTGAGGTGGAGTTCTTCTTTCATGTGGTTGTCGAGGGTGACGGAAGATGGACGCTCGAAGTGGCGGTTGAGCGGTGGGCAGCGACTTAAAACGGAGTAGGTTTGGGCGGCGTGGCGGGGGCCGTCGCGACGACAGAAGTCCTTTAAGGTTTTCTAGAAAATATTTAAATTACATTAAGATGAAATAATTATACAGGATATCCCACGTAAGATTTACGGGTTTAATATCTCTGTTATTTGCCAACGAATTGTTATGAGATTTAAAGTGTAGACTTGAAGGTGAAGATTCAATTAATTTTAATAAAATTACTTTAAGACAATTTTTTTTTAACATACTGAGTGTCCCAGCGAGTTGAAAAAGTCCATTAGTAACCTTTAAATGGTACAATTAATAAGAAATGTATTGGACATTGATAGATACTAATCTAGTGCATCACCCAAAATTATTTTCAACCATACAGCATGTCCCAAAAATAAGTTACGATACAATCTTGTATTTTTTAAATAAAACATCGTATGTTTTTTTGCATTTTTGGATGTAGCTTTTTAAAACAATATTTTTTCCAGAGATTCTAAAAGTCAATATAAATACTGAAATTTAAATTATTTTATTGTAAAAATAAAGAATAATGAATTCAGTTTAACACAAATGTGATTATTAAGTGATATTTCTTCCATCTCTTGTGCAACTATGCACTTTTTGGCTACTGAAACAATAGAAATTATTTTTTTTTAATGTTTAAGATTAAATATCTTTTTAGTTATTGATTATAAACACCTAAAAGTAAATAATATTAGAAAGAATAAATAGGGTCTTCCATTTAATTTTTTTAACTTATTGGACTTTTAACAAACGCCTTAATTTTTTTATCTTTGAAAATGCAACACACTAGAAAAATACTACAACCTTATAGCTTGTACCTTCTTCTTTCCAATAGTAAAAAAATATTTCTAGATGTCTTAGTTTTTGTGTAAAATATTTGTAAAAAGTGCATGCTTTGCTCAAAAAACCGTCTTATTTATAAACTAAGCAAAATCGACCAATAAAACTAAAAATCATTGTCATAAAAATCTACATCGTAAAACTCTAAAAAACATATGGTGTTTCAATTAAAAAACACAGGTTTGTATTGTAACTTATTTTTAAAGGTCACTAATGGACTTTTCCAACTCGTTGGGACACTCTGTATATTTTCTCAATTTGAAATTAAGCGAAACTACTATTCTACGGTTAAGCACTAAAAATAAACCTCTATACAAAAAATTAACAAATCACTCGTCTCAATCAGCAGCATAATCACCTGTATACATCATATTCGTCCTTTTCAAACGATAAGGATTAAAATACCTAACAGTATATTATTTTATTAAGAGTAAAAGTTATAATTCATACTGAATGTTTATTTTGCCAAACGTAGTGAGGCAAATAATTCAGCTGAGCCACATAAACTCACTTTTACTCCGAATCACATATACTATCTTATCCGCAAACGTATTCAGACTGAGAGTAAAGAGGTAAAGAAAAACACTATAATGATTAAGTAAATGATCAAAATAATCAAAACGGTTTGCAAGCAATGTACTTATGACAACGTTTATAAACAAATATGACTCATTAATATCGTTGTTGTGTTGAGATTTGTGTTTATTAATTATTTCACTAGTGCATGACTAGTGCAGTTAGTAGTGTAAAATGTCGAATGCTGATGATCTACAATGTACACTCTCCAGAAATTGCTAAAGCAGCAAAAAAGACAACATTGGACAATGTCATGTTAAAAGTAAAAGTGCTTAAGCAAAAAAACAGAACTTTTACTCTATGCCTGGAAAAATGTGAAGGCCCAAAATTAGCCTTTTTTTTATTATCAAGAAGTTGAACTTCTAGATATTTTTAAAACAAAGAGAAAAAAGACAAATGATAAATAATTGGTCAGTTCCGGTAAAAAAACATCTTTAATCAAATATAAATATTAAAAGTTATAACAGACAAGTAAAATAAGAGAGCAAAGAGGATGAAAAAAACAGGTGCATGTGCAATGAACACGTGCAGCTACAAAGTGAGGGTAAAATAAGAACTGAAAAATTTAAACCAGAAATTTAAATGCTAAAATGCTATTAACTTGACCGTTGGAAAAGTGCCCACCGTCTGTTGTGATTTGTTCTATAAAAGTCTTTTAAATCTAAAGTAATAGTATTAGCTAGTTTAAATTATTTAATGGACTTATTGCTACTTAAAGTTGCAAATTGTCTTTCCCTTTAGATAGTTGAGCTGTGATCGATTTTCACTATTCAACTTTGTCATAAGACAGCCCGATCCAATCTAATAATTTCAATGTACTTTAGATATTCTAACTTTATTTTACTTATTTGTTTACTTACTTAAATTATTATTATTAGAATTAACTCTTTTCAAATTCTGCAAATTTATTTAAATTGTAATTGGCTTCGTAGAGTAGGGTAAAAGCTAAAAGTACACAACTGGGTGTGTGTGCGTAGATGACTAAAACGCGTCTCGGACGGGTCCACTTTCAAAAGAGGGGAGTTTTTGGAAGTAGTGGCGTGAAAAAGGACGCTACTAGTCAACTAGTCCTGTCCCCTCTTACGTTTGCGCGCAATTAGGCTCCACCCAGATGTGTACTTTTAGCTTTTACGCCACTCTAATATGGCTCAAACCACAAACAGGTTAGAATTAATAGACACTTTTACTATTACAACCTGTTTTACTTTTTTTTAATTCGTAATAAACATCAATAGGTTTTCTATAGCTTCTTTTAGAAAAAACTTCACGTTTTATACATATTTCAAAAAAAAATTCCAATATTTTTTGACCTCCTTTTTTGCAACAATAAATCTATTTTTCTTTTATTTCCACGTTCTCATTTATTTTTCATACACGCGTCTCCAAACGAAACGTTTTGGTGATTTAGGAGGTGACCCAAACCGGACTTATGTTTTATTAATTAACTTATTTAGACAGCAATTCTGAAATATAACCCTCTCTAATTTATATTGTTGTTAGATAATTCACAGGATCATAGGACGCCTCAACGTCTCCCTCTTTTATTCAGCTTATTTCACATTTTCTCGTTTGTCTTATCCCCTAGTATATCATGTAAACAACTTCACGAAACAAGGAATGTGGCAAAAATAATGAGGTCGTAAGAGGCTTGTCAACAGCTAAAATTACGTGTTGTTTTTTTTTTTGGTAATAAACTAGAGAAAAATTTAAAATTGTGAGGGTTACTTAATAGTTACTTCTGCTTGCAAATAAAGAATAAACTTTTATTTGGTTTGTCTCATTTTTTACATTTTCACCAAACATCTTTTCGTGGCCTTTCAACATCTCATCTGAAATATAAACATAAACCGAACATATACATATTTACATAATTCAATCTGAAGTTACTCTATACTCAGCTCGATTCCATTACGTACTTATTTTTTCTAAAACTCATACTTTAAAAAAATACTAAATATTTTCAGTCTACAACTTTTAAACAAAAATTAAATCTTATTTTATGTTCCTTCAACTTGGAAACAGACTGAACAGCAATAATTAAATCACGCTTATACAACTTTACACATTTAGATAATATCAGAGAGATTTAAATTTGAATTTGAAGTAAGTTGAGGGGAAAATCAGCCGAGAATAACTTGCTCAGCTTCTTAGAGATTTAGTAAAATGTAATGAAAACAAATTTAAAAATAATGTAGTTGAAAAATCTACTCACCTTAAATGCCTCGCGAAATTTATTTGACATAATATGATAGAGCACCGGATTAATCGTCGTGGACAGAAAATACAAAATTCCGGATGCGTACATAAGAACCATATAGAGCTCAAAGGTCATCTCCTGCGCCTCCTTGGAAGCGGTGGACAAATAAACCGCCATCAGTCTTTGCGCATGGAAAGGAGCCCAACAGATGAAGAACGCCACCACCACTGCAACTGCAAACAAATATTGACGTTAACTTTGCATAAACTGAAATCGATGCTTCGACAAAATCCAAAAAGTGAGACAAACAAAGAGAAGCAGAAGCACAAACAGAACCTCGACAATATAACGGAAAAAAATCAGACAGCAATTTCTAAAAAAGTTTCTCGCATCAATAACAATTGAAGGATTTTTGCTTTACTTTGAGGTTTCACCCAATCAATAAATACAAAATGTTGATTTATTCAGTTCAGATAATGTAACGCAGGTGCAAAAAACGGAGGAGATTGTAAATGAAAAAATCAATCAACTTCAAGGCATCTGGATAAATATTTGTAAAAAAATGCGAATAACTTCTGTTTAAATTATGTCTGTACTCGTATCTACACGAAAAATGTGAAACACGTTGAAAAATTCACACTTTTTTCAAAATATGCAAATTCGAAAATGACTAATATTTTCATTAAAGATAACATATTTACACCGGATTTTGTTAATAATGTGATAATTATTGTTTACATGTTTTGTACTTTTTTTTAAATCAAAGGATCTCAATCACGGATTGGAAAAATTACAAAAAATATTTTTTACCGAAATACTTCACTTACAAAAGAAAACAATTATTAATTAGTAATATTTTTTTTATATAAAAATTAGTGTTGTTAGCTGTTTTTTAACATCTTTCCCTACTACAAACTACATAATAAATTTCTGGTTAAAAATACCTACAAAAATAATGTAATTAATTTACTAAAACCGAAAACTAACCATTTTTTTTAGTTCGTAACACTAAATTGATTTATTATTGTCAACAAAGAAAAAAATATCGGACCTTCAATTCAATTGGTCGATTTTCAAATATTCACTGTTGCCAACTTAATCTTGAAAGACTAGTCGTAACGATGAAAAATTTAATTGAAAACACGTTCACTTTAGTTTCAGCTAAAGTATGAATAATAAATTATAGAATACAACTCGTGGTTCTAGCACCATTAATTAAAGTCAAATTTTTGAGCTAAAACAACAACAGGTGCTAATTTATTTTATAATTTGCAGACAAGACAATCATGTAACCTTAGTATTTCTGAAATTAAATCTTATTGATTTTTTTCAAGCATTGTGTCAATTTGTGTCATATTATTTCTAGTCGGTGAACATTAATTAACTGCCAGTTTAATTTTATACCAATTCTAAAATGAATTGACTCTTTCTAACTAAATATAATTTTCCTATTAAATATTTCAATTGTACAATTTTAATAAATCTTAACAAACATCGTCCTTTACAGCTTGACCTAATTTCAGGAGATAATAAATTGAAATTTCATTCGAAAGCACTTATAATTTATGCATATCTATTGGAGAAGTTTCACAGGTGAAGAGAACAAAACATCGACATTCGATACGATGTCATTGGTTGATTTTTCCAGCTTTTTCATAGAGAAAATTTCAAATAAGTTGTGTTATTAAAGGTTTTGTAAATGCGTTTGACAGTTGAACAATTTTTAAACTTAAATTCACTTCCAGAGAACACAAATTCGAATGCTTTTTTTGTTATAATTTTAATTTCCTTGAAAGTTAGTCGTGCATTTAGCAAATTTAGCTGCTTTATTTGCATAAATTAGAAATTTAGATGATGAAAAAGGTTGCACAAATTGTTTACGATGTTAAGTGTTTTTAAACAGCATAAATATTAACAGAAAAAAATTGATACTTTAGTGAAACTATTTATTAATAATTTTAGTTAACATCAGAGTGGCTTTAATGTAGTGCTTTGTGGAATTATGAGATTTGCTAGTTGGGAGATGTTTATTCCTCTAAGATTAGACTTCTTGTTTTACATCGATTTCATGATTACTAATTAGCAATAATAAGTTCACAATTTGCACTTTGTAAATTCTAATTAATTGGTTCCAATTTAATAAAATAAAAAATCCTTACTCAACATATTCACGACTCGCTTCTGCGCCGCTTGATTCCTATTCCTGGCCTGTTCGCTGCTTCCAGAGCTCCCCAGCGACCTCTTTTTTGTCATACTAAGTCTTGATTTCCTCAACTGAATGCCGATAAGTACATACAGGACGGTAATAAGCGTTATTGGGCCCACGAAAAACAGGAACGTTGAAATTTCAAAAGCGTGTTGAAAAAAATTCGAAACGACGGTACATCGACTGTATTGGACTCCATCCTTCAGCTCATATTCCACACCAAATTGGATTGCTTGAGGGGCTGCAAGACACAAAGCCACTACCCAAATCACAATAATGTGCCTAATGGCCCTCGAAAGTTTGGACATAGTGTGCGAAACGAAGGGGTGACAAATTGCAACGTAACGCTCGACGGTAAAAGCTGAAAAAGTTAAAAAAGAGTTCAAGTGAAACTTTCTCAACCAATACTGTGTTGGACTTAAGTGTGTGAAAACATCTTTCAAAAATAAATACTTGTATATAATTTATTAAGCTTTGAAGATGCTCCTTTGCTGGAAATATATTTTGTTTAAATTCTTTCATTAAAAATAAAGTAAAACACGGTTAAATAAGTGCTGAGAGCCTTTTCTGATCAAATTTACTTTACACGGAGTAGTAGGAACAGGTTTCGAGTAGCAATAGATCTAATGAACAAAAGCTCAAACACAAAATGATAACGTAAAGTCACGATTTAATGGAAATTTCTACGTGTAGTTTAAAAATAATAAAATAAAATAAATCTCAAAATAACTAAAAGTAAATAAAATAAACTTAAAACTTCAATAAATATTCTTTGCTTTAAAATGAATAAATTTTAATTTAATTTTTGCTCAAGTACTTTGGCGCAAATTGGGTCGGGCAACACGTATTGGTAATCTATCTACCTACATATAGATATAGTTTTTTTTAATATAATAGAGAGATAAAAATAATTTTTTTATTAAATAAAAGCCTAGTTCATTTGCTTTGATTCAAAAAAAATTCTATTTAAATTTTCAACTCGGTCACAAATTAAGTGTACGCACAAACCTATTATTACAAAATACTTAAAAGTTGGTTTTTCATTGATTTAAAATTAAATATTTTTCAGAGTATGAATGATTCCGCTAAAATTTTCTTTCAAACTGTACTTTAAAACATCAAAATAATTTTCAAATCAATTTAATAAAAAAACAAATAGCAGTAGAAAAATTGATGAATTAAATAAAGTACAGTTGCGGAATTAAAATTTCGGGCAATATTGTCATTTTCATAATGTAAACTCTAAAACAACCTTTACATTAATAAACTCATTTTTTACTCTAGTCATGTTTATGTCATTTTGACTTATTTATTTTCTAAAATAGTGATTTGTGGCATAATAACGGGTAGGCAGCAGATAAAGCGATGATTTAATTACACCTAGTTCAATTAATAAATTTCCTAAGACAGTCAAATTGTTTGATTAACAATTTTAACAACAAAAATGTCAGTCATGATGACAGTAAGGGGTACTTTAGAGTGACAAAAAAATACTGCCCGAAATTTTAATTCCGCAACTGTACAAATTAAAACAACTATTAATTTGTTTATTTTACTGTAAAAAATGTTGTGTTTTATGTACAGGGTGTCAGAACTCGCGCCCCAGAGAAAAATTTTCAATTAAGATAAGATACCAGGAACATGGAAAAAATGTTTGAAAAATTCAATAGGTCAAAAAACTTTGACATTTGTTTTTTGACATTTAACATTTTTTATGTCTAATTAATGATACTGATGATCTTGTATATGTAGAAGAATTGTACAAAAATTTTGCCTATAAAAATCCACAAATAACATTAAACAGAGTTACAATTTCCTCTTCTAATAGCCTGTAGCAAAAAAAAACTTGAAAAATTATTTTTCCAACAAAAATAAATAAAACCAAAGTGCAAAATTTAAACTTTCATAACTTCGAATTTTTTATAGTTAGAATTTTTTAACATTTTTTTCATGTTCCTGGTATCTTACTTTACATGGCATTTTTTTAGGAGCGCGAATTCTGACACGCTGTATACAGGATGTCCGTTTTTCGAGCTCCACCATGGAAATAAATCTTAGTTATTATAGTTAAATTAGGTCAAAATTGCTCATTTTTATGCTGAACAATTATCTAAAAGAAAATTTAATGTGTCGTTTTTAATTTTTGAATTATTGGAAAAAAAATCGGAAATTTGTAATTTTTGTTTGTATTTTTCTGAGCGAAAACTAAAGGACATAGACGTTTTTAACAAAGACGTTCTTAAGACACTTTTTTACAAGCATTCTAAATATGTCATCGTATTTTCCAAGACGTTCTTGATGTTAGAGTTACAACACTCAACTTTGGATTTTCTTATGGACGATATATTCGGTTTCTGTATTTTTGAAAAATCTTTTTGTTCTTGATTACAACGATGTGATCTAATTTTACATGCTAATCAAAATTAAGAAAAAGCGTTTTTGAGAAGAGTGCTTTGAAAAAAACGCCAACAATTTTAATTAACAAACTAAATTTTGACAGTTACAGTATTATACGGCCTTAAAAAAACAATAAATTTACCAAAAATGATAAAAAAACAATCAATAAATTAAAGATAAACATTTTTATCAAATTGTGATTTTGAATCATTACAATAATCGAGAAAGTTTCCATTTTTGCTAAAAGCTCCACCACATTTCTCACCTGTGATCGTTAAAACAGTAGCATTAGCTGAAGTTTCGGCGGCGAATCCTTGCAGAATACAAAATGCTTCCCCAAAAACATAAGTTTCCGGCGACCACAGCCGGTACATTTCCGGGGGAAGTCCCGAAATCAATAGTAACATGTCCGAAACAGCCAAACTGAAGAGATAATAGTTGGTAGCCGTGTGCATCGACTTGTTGCAGGAAATAACGATACACGTGCTCACATTTCCAATCACTCCTGTTACAAAAATGACACCATACACCACAGTAACCGGAATCACTAAACTCGGAGGGTAAAGTGTTGCATCGTCTCTTATTGTGACGTTGATTTTAAATCCCGTCAAGTTAAAAGTGTCGTTCCCGAGATGAGTCATTACGAGCTTCACATTTTTGCGACTCTCTGGAACAAAAAGGATTAAATTGGAATTTGTGTGAATTCGGGGAAGTACCATTATTGAATTAATTAGCAAAATGGGAAGTTGGATGGAGACGGTTTTACTAAAGCAAAGTGACTGAGGTGTAAATGATTGGCCTTCGAATAAAGCCAGACCCCACTTATAAAAATAATAATCATTCGACTTTAATTAAGACAAAAAAGGCCGCAACTTTTTGATAAACTTGAGCTTTATCACTCCACAAATGAACAAAATTCCCATTTTGCATAAAAACGTAACTAATTAAAGTTTAGAAGCATTTATATACAAAGTTCATTCTCATAAGTTTACTATTTAATAGCCATTGATAAGACGAACAAAATATTTCTTTTAAAAGTATTAGAAAAAACATGCACAAACTATAATAATGCCATAGTTAAACGTTAAAAGTTCATGTAAAACAATTACTACCTAACCTTTTTCAATAAAATTGTGTTGTTTATTTAAACAAATAATCAACTTTTATGTATTATTACTATCAAACCAGTACTAAATTTATGACCCAAGAAGGCTGTGATTTCTATTTCAAGGTTGGTAGCTTTTAACAAATTACACATTTTACTAAAAAATTAACAATTTTTTACCTTGATTTAATTCCTTCTAGAAGCTTCAATATTAAAAATAAAAACCAAAACTTTTGTGTGCAATTGTAAAATTAAGTTGGCAACACTGAATAATGTAGTGACAGAAAACATGTCACGACATTTTATAAAGATCAACGATTAATTCCTTATTTTAAAACATATATTTTGTAACTAGACTTTGTACAATTAAACATCTATTTTTTTTAAAAATGTATTTTAATTAGTAGGTAACAATTTTAATTAGTAAGTATAGTTAGTATAAACTTACGTTTTTTGTTACGACTAGTAAAATTGACTTGATTTTTTAAATGTTAAATTAAAATTCAAACGAAAATCATATTTGATGAAACATGCAAAAATATTTTAATTATTGGACTCTCTATGTTTAAATTAGTTAGAACTTTTAGTTTTGCAAATTATTTAAATTACAACTCAAACATGATGCGTAGATATGCTGAAAGTTTATTTGCAATTTTGTTTTTGCCTTTTTCAGCATCTAATATCGTTTTCGGTTATCTACGACTGTCAGTATCAATCCAATATCAGAACTATTCGATTTTCTTTCTATCTACAATATTCTAATTTGTCATCAAAAGTTTTTCGTTTTCCTAATAAAAATTGTGTCAGTTTGCTTAACTAAACTCACTTTTCATTTTGAAGCTTGTGTCGAGTAATTTATTTTAACACTATAATATTGAATAAAGTCAAGAAATATTATTTTTGTGCCTCATCTGACTGAATTACATGTTCCACATATTCTACAAAAAGTTTTCATCTGTAAAATTTTAGAGTTCAATCATGCAAAATATTAGTTAACATGTGAGTGGACTTTGACAATTAAAATATTACAATTGTAATAGTATTGATTACTAAATTTAAATCACAGTTAGTACAATTTGACAAAAAAAATAACTCAAATGTTTCTATTTTTAGAATTGCACATTAAATCACATACCACTTGAAATTTTAATGTCTTGAATTGTAGCCAAAATAATTAAAATTTAAATCATACTAGAAATTAAAGCTTAAATCCAGATTCTCTGTTTTTTAATTAATTTAAAATAAATATTTTGTAATTTAAAAAATGTACATGTAAAAATGTACCTACCGTAATTTACACTCTTAACATTATACTGGGTGAGTCAAAACTCGCGCCCCAGATAAAAAATTCAAGTAAGATAGATGCCAGGAACATAGAAAAATATTTAAAAAATTCTCTGTCAAAAAATTTTGACATTTGGAATTTTTTATGTCTATTTTATGATACCGATAATCTTGTATATGTTTTTTATAACTATTTAGTAAAAGTACAAAAATTTTGCTAATAAAAGCCCCAAATAACATTAATAAACAGAGTTACAATTTAGGATATAGCTTTCTTGTTTCGTCTTCTAATAGCCTGTAGCAAAATAAAATTGGAAAATTATTGTTTTAACAAAAATAAATTGAGTCAAAGTGCAAAATTTAAACTCTCATAACTCATTTTCTTCATGTTTTTGGTATCTTACCTTACATGCCATTTTTCCCTGGGTCGCGAGTTCTGGCGCACCCTGTACAAGATGATAATTAGAAAACGGCAGACACTGTAGAATTTTAATTTATGGTTTGATTTTAAAAATTAAAAAACCAAATAAATGGCTTTTAATGTAGTGCAAACTTACAATTTTGAAATTTTTCTAAATCTCATAGTTTATTTTGGGCTATCATCCATGTAATTTTCAATTAGAACCCATATTTTTTTCTTCATAATTTTAAAAATATTAGTTTTTCTTGGTACAGACTCTTTTAGTAAAAATTATTATTTAAAAGTTATCAAACTAAAAAAAAATAATAAAAGTTAATAAAATCTAGTTGCATGGTGTCAAATAAGATAGTGCCATTATTGCATTATGTCAAAAAGCAGCAAATAAAATATTGTCAATATTTTTTTTAATTTTTAATAAAAAATGGCAATTAAAGTAATTAATTTATTTTATTATTTATTTATTTTGTGTACTTTTAATAAAATTATTGTTAACGTCAATTTTTTATTGATTCCATACCTTTCAAATTATGAAGAAAAAAGTATGGGTTCTAATTTAAAATTAAAAAGTTGAATATAGACCACAAAGTATACTATGACATCTAGAAAAATTCTAAAAGTGTTAGCTTATGCTATATTAAAAAGCCATTTAATTTGTTTCTATTCTTAAAATCGGGTTATAAATAAAAATTCTACAGCGCCTACCCTTTTTTTAAAAATCACCCTGTACAATAACAATTCAAAAAAGGTAAACACTTATAAACTATAACAAATTAAACGCAAAACAAATTTTCTTAAATTACATTTAAAGTCAAATTCAGGCTTCTAAATATGTATTTAAGTATAAAATAAACCAAAGAATAAATTTTATAAATAATTAAATTAAGTAATTATTTTAATTATTTTAATAAAATTAATCTCATATTTTGGCTTTTAATCGTGACGGCTCTTTTTCAGTGTTCCTAATTAGTTTTAAAAACTCTTTAAACCCAATTCTGGTGAATGCGCCGGGTTAACTCTTAATTAAACCTGCGACCACAATTGGCAAATTGATTAGAATAACATTTATTGACCTGACCTAATTAACTAATTAATTAAGATTTGTGATAGTTCTTTAACAAGCTTCACATCTTCTTTCTAATCAAAAATTATTTTTTGTAATTTGTGCCAAACGCTTTACCATTTTTCCTCATTATTTCCAAATAGGTTACGTGACCAGCTTAAAAGTATCAAACAAATTTTTCTATCTTGTGACAGTTAATCTTTCATTAATTGGTTGGAGCAACCGAATAAAAATAATTTAAGAAATCGAAAAAGCTTCCAGTTTATGGAATTTAGAGTTCCACTTCACTGCCTTTCTGTGATTGTTTTTTGAGCGAAAAGCTTCACAAACTGCGCATTTTTCAACTCGCAAAGCAAATTTTTAATAATTGAATTCTCTTTAAACATCCGGGTTAAAATAGATTCACTGTTTTGCTTTTTTTGTGAAACAATTTAAATCACATTTAAGTCCGCCCACGCTAAAAGTTTGCAAACAAACGACGTGCATCAAACTAATCTTGATTGCAAAAGATTTAATTTTTAATATGTTACCAATGAAAGGTTCTTTGTAAAGAAACGAATAGAAGGTTGCAAAAGCATGCTTTGAGTTTCTGTTGCTGACAAGGAGGATTGAATATATGTTGGAGAGTGTTGGTGAAAAAGGTTGTAATAAAGGAATAGTGAAGCAAATTGTGCTGACGAAAAGTGAAAGTTAGGAGGAAAAAAATGACAAAATTTATGTTCTCATTAAATCCAACAACTTGTAAAACCTTGACAAAGTATTAAACTGATTTATTAAAAAAATAAATTTAAACTAATAAAGTAAACTTGTTCATTAAATTATCATTTATTGAAAAAACAATGAGAATTATTTGATACAGGATGTTCCAATAATTTTTGAAGCAAACTATATTTTTCTTAATTTAAGCACTTCCTTGGCTGACCAAGTGGTCAAGGCTATGCAACAATAAAGACCAAAAGGCACATTTCCAACATTCAATTTACCTTTGCTTCAAAGAGATTGCAGCAGTGACCATTACTCCAATTACCTTCGACCTAGATACGATACCTTGCCACTTTACACAACTTGTTTAAATCTATTTGCTTGTAAAAGTAAAAATAACCCCACAACCCATTTATTACTTGAGTCTTTTCTACTCTACATTAATTTAATTATACTTACACGATAAAAATGGGAGGTCAGCTTCTAATAAAAACTTAGAGCACGATTTAGAATGTTGTGGCGCTTGTAATTCGCATTCCCTTGTGGCATTTAAGGGCTTAACGAGAATAAAGAGTCGCTAAAATTGAGTTTAATTACGTGGATACTAACGACAGAAACAAATACTTTAACGCGACGATTTGTTTTCTTATAAACACAAATAAAAACGAAATTGAGAATTATTGATGAACTTTAGGTCGACTTAATCGGCGGCAATTTAGGACCGTTTTATTGATTGATTGGACCAATAGGATGCGATAGGTAATTAATAGTAGCGAAATCGACATTTAACTCTACCTTAAAACGATTCAGTGTTGCTAAAGATGAGTAACTGGGTCGTAGCCTTGAATATTAATCGCCAATAAATAGACATATTTTAAAAGCGACAAATGCAATGGTAAATATTGCTAGTATTATATCAAAATTCTACACAAATAAACGCTTTATCCGTGTGTGGTTATCGTTGAAAACGTTCAACGATAAAAAAACAAAAATTAGTTTTCAAATTCATTTACTATTTTTAAATTTTTTGTTGTTTTATATTATTATTCACAATAACTGCTAAAAATTTTTATTATTTATATTATAAAAATGTTACTTGTACTTGGTGAGATGATAAGTTTGACACCACCAAAAGTTGATTCATTATTTGAAAAAAAAATCGTTCACATTTTAATTTTCGACGTTTATTACATATTTTAACTAGATGTGTAGCAACAGAAGCAACTGAACTTTGAGAATTTTTATTTATATTTTTGAGACATAAAAAAATAAAATTAAATAATCTGTAGCCTATTTGATATCTAAAAAAAAATCTCTACGTCAAAAATATTTTGTAATAAAAAAAGCTACTTTCAATTACGAGTCTAACTTCCAAGAAACAGAAACTCCCAACATTTTTATCAAATTTTCTTTGAAAAAAGTGTTAAAGGAAATAACATGCTTGACTTGCAATAAATAGGAATATACCGAGTGACTATTAATGTTTATGACAAAAAATCTATTGGCAACACTAAATTATTGGTAATCCTTCTAATTTATCATAACAGAATGTTTCAGTTGCCCGTCAAAATTTTCTCTAAAAGTTTGACATTGCCAAACTAAAATATTAAATTTGACACCACCTTGAGGAAAAAAAAAATCACAATCATTTCCAGTCACCCGGTAGTACATTACCTACATTAATCACCAAGAAAAAACTAGAAAAATTCAAAAGTTGAAACTTTAAACAAATTTCGAATATTCTCAAAAATTATAAAATTCATTCTATAGAATGATTCAAATGGAATGACAATTTGCAGAAACAAAATACACAATATTATCAACAAGAAAAAATTAGTTTTAAAACATTATTTAGTTTAAATACTGATAGTTATTTAATAAGTAAGTGTTATAATAGTACCAGGTGAATAAAAAGTATGGAATCAAACGTTTTTTGCTTAAACTATTTATTTTTTAAGAAAACTAATTGATGAGTGATAAAGTACTATAAAAATGTGATGATTTAACAAGAATAAAATTTTTCGAAATTTCTTTTTGTTTTTGAGTTCTACAAAAAAAAATATTTTTTTAAATGGCAACCCACTATAAAATCATTTTTCTCATAAAAGCTATACTCTAAGGATTACAACTATCTGCTTTATATTTAATTTTTTCAAAAAAAAATTTTCACATAAATTGCAATTTTGACAAAGAAAAATCGCATAATTCAAAAACAAAACAAAATTTCGTTCTGAAAATACGATCACATTTTTTATATTACTTTAATTTATATTAATTATTATTTTGTGGAGGCAAATGATTAAAAATAAAACCGCTTGGTTCCATATTTTATATTCACCCTGTATATTAAAGAACGCGTTTTGTAAGGCAAGTTTTGTGGAACGAGTTTTATAAAGAACGAATTCTCACAAATGACTTAAGAAACAAGTTTTTTATCCAATTTTTTTATTTTACGCGTTTTACGTACTTACGTCATTTTTTCAAAATTTTGGAACTTTTGCTCTAATAAGATTGTGGTTGGTAATACATAAATGTCATAAAGTTTAAAAGTTTGATTTTCGAAGTGTCAAGTCTCAAGTATTTTTCAAAATTTTGTTGAATTAATAACGATTACTGCGCACACCACCTGAAAAACGAGAATCGCTCAAAACGTCGCTAAAAATTACCAACCTTCAAAAAGTAAAGTGTACAGTTGGAGACAAAATATTTTGGTCGTCACTTTTCTGACACTTTAATGTAATTCAAGCTTTAATGTTAAAATGAATGACAATTTCAAATTAATGGCAGCTATTATATTTTCCTATCAAAAATATGTACATACAACTTGTCAACTATAATGACAGTAGCTAAAAATAAGATTAACAGTCCTAAAGCATGCTTTACAATTTAATGTCACTCAAGTGACATTGACGACCAAAGTATTTTGTTTCTAACTGTCTATTTCAGCAACCAAATCGGTTTTAAAATAGCTCAATAAAGTACAGGTTTTGGTCTCGAAATAAGCTTTCTTTCAGACGCAAAATAGCAAAATAATTTTATTTCATATTTTTTTATTTTGTTTTAAACCTCTTAGGGTGGTTTGCACCAACACTAGTTAAATTTAATCTCGGATTAACAACAATTGTAACTACGATAATAACAATGGTTACTATGGATTTAATCCGAGATTAAATTTAACTAGTGTTGCTGCAACCCACCCTTAGTGTCGCAGATTTCATAACAAAAAATGTATAAAATTGACAAATTTCAATTTTCTTAAAATGTATATTTGGTTGTCTAACCTCGAACAAATTATTTTTGTAGATATCTTGTTTATATTTAACGATTAACAATGCAAAATAAAACAAAACTTACCTTACTCAAACATTTTAATTGAAATCTTAAGTAGCTAATTCTTAAGAAAAACTTTATTTTTGATTTTGTTTAATTTAAAATAAAAAGTTTAACACTCGATACTCGCCATGTGCATTATTCATTGTTAACAGAAATCAGAGTCATCATCTATATACTCAAATCATCAGAATCAGAAACAGTTACAAAATGCCTTTGGATAATTTTTTATTACATTAAATTTTAAATATCATAAACTACATATCAGTAAGTACGAGTAATTAAGAATTTGCATGTAAATTAGAAATTTTCATTATCAGCACAAAATTATTTAAAGCAATAAACATATCAACAACATACCCACATCGCGAAAAAAACCCGCATCAAAATGACTCAATTTTAAATATTTTTCAGAAAGTGTTGCATTAATTGAAAACTATCGTAAATCTTTCCTGATCGCGAAAAAGTGCACTTGAAATATTCTTTGTAAAAAATATACAAGTAATTCGCAACAATAAATTTACATTTCTGCTATTATCTTCCAACTTGGTATGAAAACAACAAAGACTGTCTGGAAATAAACCAAGAATTGCGCTTGTTAGAAGACAGAGAGACTTAAAACTGAGACATGTTTGCAATCCTCAATGTAAAAAGAGTTCAAGATCAATTCAAACATGCGCATTTATTTGAAAACACCATAAAAAATCATATCCGGACAAAATCAGAGAAAATTAATTCAGACAGTGTTCGCAACTGAGAGTACATTTAACCAGACAATAAAATCGAAACCGCATTGTGTACTCCACTGGCGTAAAATCATTCAAAGGACGCTTTATTGGATTGATGAGGTCTTTGTACAACCAACGCGCCACCTGAAATTGTCTACTAATTGCCACAATCCACTGAAATAATTTTTCACCATTGCAGAATATCTTTCGTAGATTAAATTCCAGCAAATGCAAAGTGCACGTTTCGTTAACTTGAATTTACTTGAATGAAAAGAATTATTTGCGAAAATCGTCTACATAGTAAATATAAAATTTTCTCGTGGAATTTCAAAGTAAGGTCAATGTCGAGATCAAAACAAGCTGCAGACGTTATTGAATTAATCAATGGTCATTTAGAGAATTTTAGATGAGCCGAGGGGGTTGAAAAAATTTAATTGCCGACGAGGAGAAAAAGAGAAACATAAAAAGTGAGATTTTATTACTTTGCGCAAGTGTTTCTTTAATCGCCGACTAGATTTAAGACAATAAATAACTTCTAGGTTTTGTTTTCTTCTCGAGTGAGTTAGTAATTAGTAAAAAAATAACTAAATTGAATCGAACACTAATAATTAAAATAATAAATAAGCATAAGCAGAATTTCTACTCCAAAAACCTACTTTTTTGCCTTAAAAAGTCAAAAGTACTTCTTATAATTTTGAACTATCAAAGATGGCCTAAATGAACTAAATATTCTGCTGTTAAATAAAAATAGCTTCTTTAATAATAATTGCTTGTAGTATAATAGTATATTAAAAAACAAGTGTTACAAAGACTTTCTACAAATAGTTTGTGACACGAGTCACGCAGTTGCGAGTGTTACAAATGTACGAGTATCACAATAAAAGGTTGTAACACGCTTTTTTTATACTATTATTTTTTCTATTGAGCGCTTTTTAAATTGAATTTATTATTATATTTGACAGTTAAAATTTTTGATATTTGACGTATGCGGTACCCAAATTGCTCGAAAATAGCTTAAATTACATTAGTTTTGGTAAAATACGTTAAACTGCAACAATTTCTCACTTAAAAACCACGATCTTTGGCCAGTTATGGCCAAAGTATTGTATAATGTCGCCAAAAAACAGTGTCACAAAATAGCATTTACTACTTAAATACCGTTTCAATATGTTTTAAAAAAGTAAATTTACAGGCATTTTGTGTAAAATTACATCTGATGGTTAAAATCAAAATAAATAAATTTATATTTTACATACTGTTAAAGTATTTTATATTTATTAATGATGTATTATACATTAACAATATTAATGTCATTTTTCATATAAAAATTGTGTAAAAAATAAGACTGATTTTAGTAAAGTTAGATCAAGTTTTTAAATTGAAAGTGAAAAATATAAACTACTAATGATAAAAATTCAACAGTACTAAAAAATGTATTTTAAAACTGAAATCTGAAATAAAACTACTTTTCTAATGCATTTTATGAAAACTACATACATACAAGGTGTGTCAGAACTTGCGTCCGAGAGAACAATTTCAAGTAAGATAAAACACCAG